GAAAAATATTAATTAGATTTGGAATCAGAAAACTGGGTTTAAAATCTGGTTCTGCTATTTATTAGATATGTGATCTTGAGGAAGTTATTTTATCTTTCTAGGATATAGTTTTCTCATCTATAAAGTGGTAATAGTTGTAGTTGTACTATTTAATAAACAAATTTGTCATGTGAAAATTAAATGAGATAATGCATATAAAATATTCTCTGCATTAGATTTAGAGTTGAAGGACCTAGGTTCATATTCGGACTTTGCCATTAAGTATCTTTTCAAATTTGGGTAAGTTACTTCCTTGCTCTGTGCCTTGATTTCTTCATATATAAAACAAGGAAACTGGATTAGGTGAATTTTATATAATCTCAAGCTTCAAATCTATGACGTTAAGACACATAAGCCATCATTATTATGTTGTAAAGGGGATTTGGTAATTAGACTAACATTGGACTAAATGACTTCTAAGGTCCTTTTTATTTCTATGATTCTATGACTCAAAGTAGATCCAATGATTATTTTGCATCATGCATCCAATTGGATATGTTTTAATTTCCTTAGAAATGTTTGGATTTTCAAAAATGTAATTACAGATCTAAATAGAATACTCTTTAGGTGATAAATCATTTCATCATTTGGGGTTAAGAACTCACAAAAAGTAAAATTGACATCTGACTTCTGACGTTGCTGTTTCCTCAAAAAAAAAACTACTAAAGGACTTAATTTTTGTTTCAAAGTGAATTGAGATGCTCAGCTAAGATCTTCCTCCAGTGCCACAGTATGTTGTGGAGGTGACTTTGGCCCCTTGGGTGATATGCTAGGAGGGCCCAGGTTTTGGTAGATGCCACTTATTTAGAAAGGCTTTGCCTCTCTAGAAAGGCTTTAAGTATGGTCCAGGTGATGAAATGGATATCCTTTAACTAGGCGTTAATTAGAAGACTGACTATAAGGTCATGCATTTATATTTATTTTTTATTTATTTATTTATGTTTGGCAACAGCAGCTCATGAATACTATCTGCTAAGGTGTAAAGAGGTTGTGAAGTACATGGGAGGAGTAAGTGGCCACTCTAATGAAACATGGGTATTTCAAGTATTGCAGTAAATTGATTTGCTTTATGAATTAAGGAAAAATATTATCTTAATTGGAATTCATTAATTTTTACAAATGGACTCAAAGCCAAATCTTAAAAAAGAAGAGAAGACAAAGTGCTGTATTTTTGAAAGAGCAACAAAAATGGAGGAGGGAACACATATTTAGAATATTCAGTATTTTAAAGCTAGAAGGGAACTTCCAGGGGATCATTTAGTCCAATCACTCCATTTTACAGTGAAAAAAGCAGTGGCCCATAGGGAAGAAATGCCGTGCCCAAAGTCACATGGCTTGTAATAGCAAAATCAGAATGGAAACTCAGAGAGCGTTCCTTCAAATCCAGTGATCTTTCTACACTACAACATGCTGCCTCTCTTTTCCCAAACATACACTATTAAGCAAACACGCGCACACATACACATATAGGTACACACACATATACATTGTTGTTCAGTCACTTTTCAATTGTGTCTAACTCTTCATGACCCTATTTGGGGTTTTCTTGGCAAAGATACTGGACTGCCAGTACCATTTGCCATTTCCTTCTCCAGCTCATTTTATAGAGGAGGTACTGAGGCAAACAAGATTAAATAATTTGCCCAGGGTCACACAGCTAGTAAATGTCTGAGGTGGGATTTGAATTCACGAGTGTTCCTGATTTCAGGCCCAGCACTCAAACCACTGTGCAACCTAGTTGCCTTTCTCTCTGTCTCTCTGTCTCTCTCTCTCTTTCTCTCTGTCTCTCTTTCTCATGTAGTATTCATTAAAAGTCTCCAACCAATAAAAACCACGCATTCTTATAAGATGCAGTGAATAATAATAAAAAATCCTTTAAAAAATCCCCTAGACACATCAATGTAAACTCTCTTGTAAAAAGAAAAACAAAGCAGAATAATAGAATTTTTTATTTGGAAAGCATATTAAATGCTATCTAGTACAACTCTTTCATCCAGATGAGGAAACTGAAGTTCATGTTGGTGACCTAATTTGTCAAGGGTCACACAAAGAGTTGAGGCAGAAACGGGACTGGAACTTAGGTCCTTTCATTCCTGGGTCCATGCCCTTTTTTTGTAATTAAAAAAAAAAAGCAGGGCAAGATTTATTTTGCATATGTTTTTATGAGAATCTCAGGATCCAGATGTGAAGCTGTGTGCTAGCTTTTATTTTTTTTCTGTTTTCAATGTTTTATCCATTTTAAAAAATACATCACTTTGTAATGATCTACTACAATCCCTCTTTTTCACTAGGAGGAATCTCCCTTTGTAATTAACAGGTGCAAATTAGTAAAACAAATCAAGATATTGGCCTTGCAGTAAAATGTATATTTCATTCCACACTCATAGTCCACCACCTCTCTTTTGAGAGGTGGAAAGCATGCTTTACTGTCATTCCTCTGAAGGCATGATTGGTTAAGGAATTGCTCAAACTGTGTTCTTTCCAATATACTCTAATGCATCTGTCAGCAATTGCTATCCAAATTAATCAGAAGTCTATTAATGAGATGTAATCTGACTGATGTATAGATAATTAACATAGCAAAAATAGAGAGAAATTTTAACAACTAAAAAAAATGGATTTTTGCATACATTTCTAAATTTACATGTATTTGTGAGCCCTCCTCAAAATTTCATCTAATTAGCAGGTCTAAAATTCAGGCTGTTCACATACTGCCAAACCAGAATCATGCCTCAAAAGCAAGATGCAGAATTACCATCTTATAAGTACACCTAACCTAACCTTCCTTATCCTTACTTGTATTGCTTGTTCTATTCATTTGGAATAAGATGTCTATAAAATTTCATATGCACACATACTTACATACATCACTCAGATTAGGTATGTACACACATTTGTATACTCACATAAATGGTATGCAGTTTGGCAAAGAATGTGTAAATGTTAAAAATAGCAAATTAGAAACTGTTTATGTTGAACAAATTTTAGATGTGAAATAATTCAAATTATACCTAATTAAGAAAATATTTTCACAAGTCATATTGTATAATTCCTTTTGTACACATTGTCTTATTATTCAACTACTGATTTTATTCAACTGCTGACTGGCCAGGAAAGTATAATAGAAAGACACATACTACTCATTAACTAGATATCTGCTTTGTATTCAAAAGAAATAAACAATGATGTATTTTCAATTTACATGAAAAGTATGGTGTGGTCTCATAAAATTATTTAAATAATTTTAAAACTCCAGATTTTAATTACATTATTCCTGAAAACAAAAGTGAGCTATCTTTTCTTTTTTTTTTGTTAAACATCAGCCACTGTTTGACAAATCAGCTACTCTCCTCTCAACTTAAAATTTTATTGCTTCCTTACAATATAGCATAGAACAATTAATTTTTTTGAGTAATTAACAATTCTGTCCCTTAATTTTCCTGAATGACAATCAAAATAATTATTTGCTTTCCATTATATATTTCTGAAAAAGAAATGCTTATTTGATACTAAAATAAAGATGCTTTTTTAGTTTTCCTAAAAGAAATGCAAGCTGTGTATTACTAACCTAATCCATAATGACTGTACTTAGATTTTTCTTCTTGTCTTTGGTCTGATTCAAGTCTTTCATCTAAATGTGTAACTTAGTATTGAAAGTTCCTTTACTGAAGTCAATCAGATTTTTTTTCCTATAACTTACAGTCTCTGGGAGTTGTCTGGAGGCACTGAGAGGCTTGGTGACTTATTCATAGTCACATAGATAGTATGTGAAAAAAGGAAGATTTGAACTCAGATCTTCCTGACTTCAAGGTAAACCTTTGCTGTATTGTGCTGTACGTAGTCTCTTTTTCTCTTACCTCAGTGGCTAAAAATACATATTTTCAAAAAATGCATACAAATCCACAATAAATGTCATGACTTCCTGGTGACAATAACAGTGGTCATGTTGTCTGCTATTTAATTTTCTACAGCAATTTTCATAGAAACACCGGTGTTCAACCATTTTCTTATATGTGAAATGTCCTCAGCCATTATAACCAAGGTTTAATACTGAGGGCTAACAGACCACAGGTATGGTTTTCTCTGGAGGCAACCACACCGCAGTATTTCAAATACTTGCCCCCCACCCCTTCCCAAGTAAAGAAACACAGAAAGATTAGATTGCTGTATGACTTTCAGCTACAGTTAGATAACATGCAATTTGGTTTTACTGTCTTATTTTCAATAGTAATCTAAACACATTCTTTTCTTGGGGGCCTCTGCAGTTTATTCCCATTGAGAAGCTAGATTAATACTTTATGAGAATAATGTAATCATTTGGATCTCCAAGTCTCATTATCACTTATCTGTCCCAGACTTTGACCTTTGAGGCTAACCTTACCACATGAATGCCTCTGCTCCAAAGTCTATGCTTTGTTTCCCAATATTAACTATGTTAAATGACAGAAGTCATAGTAGCACAAGAATGTCACCAAGGTCACATTTTAATTTGCCATATGTGATTTACAGACCTACCATGATGAAAATGAGAGAAAGTAGAAGGAAGAAACAAGAGTTCACAGTGAAGTGGTGGGGGATGGTGGGTCATTTCGGTATGCCATCCACATGATAATCACTTATACATTGGCAAGAAAAATGTATATCAAAATGGGTGAGGGTGTCTGTCTACATGTGTAGCTTCTGATTAATCAAAATTTGTGCTGACTTTTGTCTTATTATGACTTTATGCCATGCAGAGATGGTCAGGTTGGCTCATATTCTAAGAAATGCTGTAACTGTGTGAGACAAAGAGGGAGTTTCAAAGGGAAAGAGGAAGGGAAAAAACAAACAAACAAAACCCAAGTACAAAATGCATTGTTTTCCAAGAACACTCAAACAGTCGTTTTCATCATTTAGTTCTGGTCATTTAACAAGGTCACCAAACCCTTCCAGTTACATTGTAGAAAGAACACCAGTATTACCTTCTGTGTCTTGCATATTTGCCACTAACATGACCGCTACCATCACAGCCAGGAGTGGGGCAACTGAAAAAAGGAGGAGAATTAATTAGAGAGGTGTTGTGTGCTGCCGAGAGATTATACTAAAAGCAGGCAGTAGGTTTTACCAAGATGGAGGGCAACAAAGACGGAAAGAGAGAAATCAAATAACTGAAGGGAAAAAAAAAGAGGGGGGATGCTTTTTATTAGCAAGTCTCAGGGGAATTAATTTCATCAGTGCAGCAGGGCCTGAGCAAAGCACCAATGAACTTGAAAGTGCATTATACCCATTAAAAGGCATGAATTTTCTAAATTGCTAATGGGGATACATTTTACACTCAGAGCACTAACCTGAACAGCTCCTGTATGGCTGGTTCCACGGGAACTGTAGAGAGATGGAAAATATATAAAAATTTATCATCTATTACAAGTACCCCTCTTCTAGAGAAAATTACCAAAAAGGTTGTGTAAAAGCAGGGGTCAGAATGAATCGTGCAAAGAGATTCTGGAGGATGAAGGTCACCCTGAGCAGAAGCCTCCAGTGATTTAGTGAAGCAGCAGACGTACCTCGAACCCCTTTGGAGCGTGTGCGATGGCGTTTCTCGTCGGCATCCACCTCCATCTGGGAATAGATTAGCAGGCAGTCAATGTTCTTATCCTGCATGCACAGACTATCAATGCACTGAGTGGTACCGGCTCCCTCACCATTTATTGACAATATTTTAATTCCATTTTATCCTGCAAAGTGAAGTTCCTGGGAGGGGGGTAGAGGTGGAGGAATGAATTTCAGGAAACCTAGATATTTAATTGAATGGGAAACACTGCCTGCCAAACACCCCCCCACCCCCCCCCACCTCCAAGGCCCTTCATAGCCAATGTTTAATCAACAGACTTGCACCTTTTTTCAGAATGTTTAAAAAAATGAAAATACATTGTATTGCTCCCCTTTAAATAGTTTTTCTTACAAGACATCTGAGGTTACTTTGAGATGTACTTTCAAATGTGTACATCACTCAGACATAATTTAATGTAAGAGTTGGAACAGAAGTCAGAAGCTCCTTAGTTCATTCTGTACTTGAACAGAAATTTCCTCTCCATCATCCTCCAGGGGTGGGGAACCTGCAGCCTTGAGGCCACATGTGGCCCTCTCGGTCCTCAAGTGAGGCCCTTTGACTGAATCCAAACTTTACAGAGCAAAGTAGGAGGCCACAAGTTCCCCTCCTATGTTAGCCCCTTCCCTGACATAACAACCCTTAAAATGAGGGCCTGTACAGGGTGGCAGTTACATGTATGCCTGTAGCTAAGGCTATAGGATAGAATTCTTAAATAGTATGATCGCTATCTATGAAGTTTAAAATGAGGCAAAAAAAGAGACACATTTCCCTAAAACAGAAGAGTGTGGAATGACCAAATAGGAACAAAAACAAAATCAGAGGGAGTAAGTGAGGGAAAAAAGGAATGAGAGGGAGAGGAAGACAGGAGAAGAGAGGAAAAGAGTTATACAGTGAAGGAAAGGAAGAGGAAGAGATGGATAGAGGGACAGGGAAAGAGGGAGAAAGGAAAAGAGAGAAAGAGGGAGAGAGGAAGAGAGAAGAGAGAAAGAGTAAGAGGTGTTGTGTAGGACAGACAAAGAGAGGAAGAGAGAGGAGAGAGAGAGAATAGAGAAAACAAACACCTCATATCCCATCTAATTGAACTATGCTTCTTCATTTTCATTCATACTGATAAATCAGATTTGTTTGAACAGATCTGTACATTTCATCATTGGCTTATAATAACATGAGTGTAATAAATAATTTTATAATGTATTAATATTAACCAACAGCAAATCTACCTAGCAACCTTTACTGGAGAACCTTACTTATTATACTGTAGAGACCGATAAGTGATAAGCCACTGAAATGACAGCTCATCTCTACCCCCATGACACGAATGTGACTTCAGTTTTCTGAGCTGTGATTTCTCTGCCCTGTCCATGTGTCCATATTTAGATTTCTAAACAGAATGAAGATATCAAGTACTGAAACATGTAGTTCTATACTATACTACAGAATAACAGACTTCCTGGCTGTTTAGATCTCATAGGAAGTCTCAACCAGTTTGATCTGATGAATTATATCAATCATTTTGATGAATAAGCCTTTACTCAGTGCCTGCTATGGAGTCATCACTGTGCTTGGCTCTTGGGATATAAAAAGAAAAATGAAACAGCTCCTGCTTTCAAGTGGCTTATATTCTATATACAGAAGAAATCTGTGTTATGACCTACATAATCTAAAGCTATCTCCAAGAGGGGCATATCTCCCCCTCTCCCAGAGGAGAAGATCACAGAAAAAGTTTTTACAAAAAATAATGTCAGTAGCAACAGCTGCCCATTCCCTCATTTCTACAAATTTTTTGTGATTTTTTTTCTATGCAGGTATCCATTATGAAAATGTAAGTAGGGAATAGGCACGCTTTCTTAGATGATTTTCTATAGCAAATGACATCTTCTTTTAGAAATCATTTTTAAAGTGCTAATAAGCCTTTCTCAATTCTGAACTGTGGTGGGAGACCTATTTTTAACCAATCTGTATCATTGTACAGTATTTGCTATGTAGTCAACTTCCAGTTACTTGGGGAAAGTCATTCATGGGGATGGGATAACCTGAAAAAACAAATAGGCATACACATAAAATATTTATAGGTATGATCTTTTGACCTTATTTTAACCAGTAGCTTTCACTTTGTCCCCATCAGCCACCATGCCACCTCACTCCTTACTAGCTTGCTTAAAAGTAGTAAATTGATTAATTTGGATTTTACAATCACTCATTTCTTGCAATGACCATTGATGTTGTGAAGATATTAACAAGGAGTTAAATAACTTAACATTGGGGAGAAAAAGGTCTAAATAATTGTTTGTTGGATAGTTGAAGAGTTTTGCTTTGTAACATGAGTTTCTAGACACCAACTTCAATATATAATAATCTTGTGATGGAAAAGATACAGTCTTAAACCTTTTACTTCCACATACTTATCCCTGAGGGAAAGATTTTCATGTTGTGACATTTAAAAGTTTCAAGAGATATAATTTCTGGATACTTTAATCATTTTATTAACAATGCCAGCATGTTTACTAATAAAAGGATAGTCATTTGGTTGTCTCTCTCTTAGACCAAAGACAATTATGGCTGAGGGCTCATGTCTTATATGTGTATTGGAAAAGGGATGTTCTTGAGGGTGGCAATCAACTCTGATTGGTTAACAATTAATGAGAGAATGAATATTACAATGAGGGGCTGAACCTATTCAAATGAACTTTGATTATGTCATTTGCTTTTAAGTTACCCCCAGCCTTGGGCAATCTATTCAAAGAATTTATCCTCTACCTAACCCTGTACAGAAGGGAGTTCTGATCTAGTTGAGTAGAGTAGCTATATTCAGAATGAGGAGAATGTTAATCCTATCTTCCATCAGCCCTGTCCTTGAGAGTTTGGACAAGGAAGTAGGACAGGGAAAAAAAGGTGGGATCTCCCCAATTTAAATAATTGGTGTTAATATGAGAGAAAAATAATCATTTCTCTCAATGTTAACATAGGTGCACATACCATAGTCTTTCTATATTTTACTAACAAACCCAGAAGGAAAAGCTAGAAAAATATATTCCATTTAAAATAGTTATAGCATATATAAAACATTTAGAAATCTACCTATTTCAACACTCAAAGGAACTATATGAATACAACTGCAAAATACTTTAGAGAAATAAAGATGCACTTAAATAGGTGGTGTGATATTGATTCTTCATGGTTGTATAATGTCAGTATAATTAAAATGGAAATATCATAAAAATTAATTAATTATTCAGTGCCATGCCAAACTACCAAAAGATTACTTTAGACAGCTAGAAAAAAAAAAAACAACATTTATCTGGAGAAAGACAGTGTCATTACCTTTAAGGGAAATAGTGAGAAAAAAGTGGGAAAGAAGAAGACCTAGGCTAGGAATACCAGATCTAAGTATACTACAAAGGCAGGAATTTTCAAAACTATTTGGCACTGGTTAAAATATAGGAAAGTCAATCAATGGAGCAGGGTAGGTAGACAAATATGGAAACAAATCAACTTAATACTAACTTTCCACAAAATCCTTTCAAGTTAACTAAAAAGATAACATTCACAATAAATTCCAAGGGCCTTGGATGATTGGAGGAAAGTAAAGTGGTTTAGTGAAGGGAGCACTAATATTTAACTGGGCTTTGCTACATATTCCCTATGACCTAGGACAAATCATTTGGCTTTTGCAGATCTCAAGTTTCCTGTTTATAAAGTGAGGGTGTTAGGCTTAAATAATCTCTAAAGTCCCTTCCAACTCTAAAACCTGTGGTTGAAGCAAGAAAGTAAAAGATATGAACTGGTTTGTACTCTTAAAGTCATTCTTTCATTTATTCAGTAACAATATCCTTAGGTACCTACTTAATAGCCTTGTTCTTGGTGTTGAGCAGAATACAAAGCTGAGTAAAAATGTGGCCCCTTCTCTGGAGCTGTTTGTATAGATAATGCACATACTCACATAAATAGCCATACTGCAAAGCAGAATGAGTTAAGGACTTAAAAAAGGTACAAGTAAGAGGCTATGGAAATTTTGAAGAAAGTTCATCTAAGGCAGGCCTGTACAACCTGTGGCCCACTGGCCCCTTGCAGCATGCCAAAGTACTTCAGGCAGCCCCTGAAAAATGTAGAGGAAAACATCCTTTGTATGTGAAATCCTTTGGCATGCCACAAATGACTGGTAAGCGGCAGGTTGTGCAGGCCTGATCTAAGGTAAACCATCTTCCTCATTGGATCCCAATGTCCTTTCTCCAGATCTTGCTGAATCCATGTCTAGCATTCTATGCTGATCTCTATGGGTCTAAATCCTTCTCTCTCTTTGAGGCCCAGAACAAAGACTACCTTTTCTGTGAAGCTTCTCCAGTTATTCACATCTCCAATCCTTTTACTCAGCTGAAAGCTTTCTCTTCCTCCTGAAATCTTCCTTGAAAACTCTACCTAGATGTAGCTTTTGCTCTCATCACATCCTATCTTGCACATGCACATGCCCTTCTAATAAATGCCATGCTCCTGAGGGCTAAGTTAATATTTGTAGACCCAGTACTCAGAACAGTTCCTTGAATAGAAGGTGCTTAATAAATGTTTGTTGAATCAAAGTAAGCTTACAATTAGGCACATCTTTGATAACATTCTTATCCTTTGTGGGGTGAAGGTAGGGTGCTCTGAATGGCTTAGTTTCTTCATTTATAAAGTTTCTACTTTGAGATGCATGGATTAAGTTTCTCAGTGGAAAAGTAGTATGGTTGCTAGAGGATACTATAAAAATGAAGCTGTATTGTTAAAGTAATACCATTTAAAAAGGGAAGGCCATTCTACTAAACTCAGCATTATGCAGGTTCTGATTAGAGTTCTATGGCCATTTTAGGACTTTATGATTTAAAAGTGATGTTAAAACCTGGAAAAACTACAGAAGCCAGAAATGAAAATAATGCTGAGTTAGAATAAAGGTTCAATAATAACTTGGCATCTTTCATGAGAAACCCAGTCTTCCTGAATGCATGACATGTGGGTTCAGGTTAATGGAGTTTAT